CTCTTCCCAAATCTAACATCTGCTAAAAAAGCTAGTGTGAACTTAGACTAAGAGTTCCCTTCACAGGAACTAGGGGGCCAAGCCCAACCCCTGAAAAACAACCTCACACCATAACCCATCCTCCACCAAACTTTACACTTGGCACAATGCAGTCAGGCAAGTACCGTTCTCCTGGCAACTGCCAAACCCAGACACATCCGTCGGATTGCCAGACAGAGAAGCGTGATTGGTCACTCCAGAGAACATGTCTCCTCTGCTCTAGAGTCCAGTGGCGGCGTGCTTTACACCGCGGCATCTGATGCTTTGCATTGCACTTGGTGATGGAAGGCTTGGATGCAGCTGCTCGGCCATGGAAACCCATTCCATGGAGCTCTCTACACACTGTTGTTGGGCTCATCTGAAGGCCACAAAAGTTTGGAGGTCTTTAGCTATTGACTCTGCAGACAGTTGGCGACTTCTGCGCACTGTGCGCTTCAGCATGCGCTGACCCCGCTCTGTCATGTGACGTGGCCTACCACTTGGTGGCCTGAGTTGCTGTTGTTCCCAGTTGCTTCCACTTTGTTATAATCCCACTAACAGTTGAGCGTGGAATATTTAGTAGCCAGGAAATGTCACGGATGGACTTATTGCACAGGTGACCAACCTATCACGGGACCACGCTTGGAGTCACTGAGCTCCTGAGAGTGACCCATTCTTTCACTAATGTTTGTAGAAGCAGTCTGCTTGTCTAGGGTGATGATTGTATACACCTGTGGCCATGGAGGGGATTGGAACACCTGAATCACATGATTTGAAGGGCGGGGCCAATACTTCTGGCAATATAGTGTAGCTTCAAGCATAAAGTCCCAATGACAACAATGTTGAAGGGAAGCGATACTCTAAATTAAACTTTTCTTAAAATGATATATTTATTATCTAAAAACATAAAAACTTCTAGTGTCTTGTATAAGGAAGCTGTCGCTATGTTAACAATGTTAAAGGGAACCAAAACTCTAACTGAAACTCTCCTTGGAAGGATACATGTATGTCGCAAAACATAGAAAACAAACGATAGTTTCCAGTATAAAGGACTGGTCCTTATGTCAACAATGTTAAAGGGAATAGTCTCTAAATTAAAGGGAACCTGTCATGGTTAAAACATTGAGAGGCCATTGCTGACATGTTTTTAAAAGGTACAAACTCCAGGTTGCCCCACTTAAGCTGGCCATACATTGGTAGAACCATATTCTGCAGTGGATCGCTCTTCAGGGGGTGTTTGACAGGTGGTGAAGAGGCACTTCCTCACTATGCAACCCACTGCGCTGCACGTAGTCGACATGCAGTCTTGTTCAATGGCAATACCACAACCCTGAGTGGCTGCATTATTTTTTCAGGTAGTAGGCTGGGAGGTGGTAAAACTGCAACTCAATCCCCCCCCCAACTGCCCATGTGAGTGACCCCTTAGAGTTCTTGCAACTTGAATCCAGGACACACAGTTCAGGTGTCACTCACATCTCCCAATGAGCTAGCACACAGCTGATACTTCTTACAACAAGACGGATACTTGATGACATTGTGTGAATATGGATGCCAGAGGGGTGTCTGCTGATGCACTAGAATGTGGAATGTTAGAAAACAATTGGTGAACAGACAGGATTTTAAAGGATAAGTTCACCTTTTAGACGAAAATAATAAATGCACAGATAAAAAAAATGTGCATTTATTATTTTAGTCTGCAGGACCCTGTAAAACACTGTACCAGCGATCAGTAGATTGCTGGTGCCATGCGGGTCTCCTGCAGATCTGTCAGAATATTTGCTTGCTGCATGGGATGTGGGGGATGTACAGAGTTTACGGGATGTACAGGATATACAGGATGTTCGGGGTGTAGGGGATGTATGGAATTTACAGGATGTAGAGGATGTATGGGATGTGCGGAATGTACAGGGTGTACGGGATGTACGGACCTTACAGGATGTAGGGGATGTACGGAGTTTACGGGATGTACGGGATGTGTGGGATGTACAGGGTGTAGGGGATATAGGGGTATGTAGGGGGTGTACGGGATGTACAGGTGTTGGGTGTAGGGGAGGGGATGTATGGAGGATGTACAGGATGTGTTGGGTGTAGGGGATGTACGGGATGTATGGGATGTATGGAGTTTACAGGATGTAGGGGATGTACGGGATGTGTTGGGTGTAGGGGATGTACGGGATGTAGTGGGATGTATGGAGTTTACAGGATGTAGGGGATGTACGGGATGTGTTGGGTGTAGGGGGATGTATGGAGTTTACAGGATGTAGGGGGATGTATGGAGTTTACAGGATGTAGGGGATGTACGGGATGTGTGGGATGTATAGAGTTTATAGGATGTAGGGAATGTATGGGGTCTACCGGATGTGTGGGATGTATGGGGTGTAGGGGATGTGTGGGATGTAGGGAATGTATGGGGTGTAGGGGATGTACAAGATGTAGGGGATGTGCGGGGTGTAGGGGAGATGTAGGGGATGTACAGGTGAGGGGATGTACAGGATGTATGGAGTTTACAGGATGTATGGGATGTACGGGATGTAGGGAGTATACAGGATGTAGGGGATATACGGGATGTGTTGGGTGTAGGGGATGTACAGGATGTAGGGGGATGTATGGAGTTTACAGGATGTAGGGGATGTACGGGATGTGTTGGGTGTAGGGGATGTACGGGATGTAGGGGGATGTATGGAGTTTACAGGATGTAGAGGATGTAGGGGATGTGTGGGATGTATAGAGTTTATAAGATGTAGGGAATGTATGGGGTCTACCGGATGTGTGGGATGTAGGGGATGTGTGGGATGTAGGGAATGTATGGGGTGTAGGGGATGTACAAGATGTAGGGGATGTGCGGGGTGTAGGGGATGTACAGGATGTATGGAGTTTACAGGATGTATGGGATGTAGGGGGTGTACGGGATGTACGTGGTGTAGGGGATGTACAGAATGTGTTGGGTGTAGGGGATGTACGGGATGTAGGGGGATGTGTGGAGTTTACAGGATGTAGGGGATGTACGGGGTGTATGGGGTGTAGGGGATGTACAGGATCTGTGGGATGTATAGAGTTTACAGGATGTAGGGGATGTACGGGGTGTAGGGATGTACAGGATGTGTGGGGTGTAAGGGATGTACGGGGCGTAGGGGATATAGGGGATATACGGGGTGCAGGGGATGTACAGGATGTATGGGGTGTAAGGGATGTACAGGGTGTAGGGGATGTACAGCAGGCTGACAATGCTGCTGCTCATTCAGAGGCAGTGGCTTACCGTTGTCAGCCTGTCATGTTAGCTCCTTCACTTGGCTGTTGGGCTGTCTGTCTGGTAGACCCAATAGGCAGCCAGAAGGAGCGCACACAGCAGGCTGACAACGCTGCTGCTCATTTCATAGCAGTGGCTGACCGTTGTCAGCCTGCAACAGGAAGTGATGTCATTGGCAGGGTCTCCAGGTAAGAAACTTTTGGCACAGATTCACTCTAAAAAACTGGACTTACTAGAAAAAGGAATATTGTTTCAGAAGGAGGAATTACTAACTTCATACAAAGCTGGTCGCACACGTTACAAACATTGGACTTTCATGGGATGCAAGAAAATCAGATAAGGATGTGAAACAATGGCTGGAATGTGTTGATCAGCCGGAGTGGAGTGGACTGTCAGGATGGAGTGGGAGTGAGCGCCAGGCTTCACATACCTGAATATTTCTCTCCACTCCCATAGCCGGGCAGCAAAGGGGAGATGAGTATGTGCAGCTGTTGTTGGGGGACCTGTTGTCATTTCCAGGAACAGCCAATGATCAGATCCACTTTAATCCGGGTTCAAAGCCTTCCACAGTACAATAGAGGATTCCCTCAGACAATGGGGAGTCAAAAAAGATGATCTAAGTGCCTTTATGAGCACCATAGAAAAAGGGGGGAGGGGTTCCTGGAGGGTCCTGGAGACAATCACCCTCTAGGGAGCTCTGCGCTGTAACAATCCAGGACCACCATGGCAGGAGGACTGTACATAAAGTCCACAGACTAGAGACAAAGCACAGCGACCAATCACAGTCCTGACTTGATGGACAACTGCAGGCTCCAGTATGACAGTCAGGGGTGGACTGACCATTTGGAAACTCAGGCACTGCCCGAGGGCCCGGGGTCAGTAGGGGGCCCCTTGAGATGCCCCTGGTACCTTTTTCATAGGCTTTTTTGAGCTTGGGCAAGGACACGGGCCCCATGATCCCCTGTGGCCCGGGGGCCCCATGAGTTATCAGTCCGCCCCTGATGACAGTCTAATCAAGTCCCAATTCCAAGAAATGTCCTTTCCCTTCCCCCATAACTGAGCCATCTCCTCCTTCATGTGTGTCTCTCGCGCTCCCCCTCTCAGGCACTGCAGAGACGGTGGGAGGGATTCTGCAGCAGAGGCAGTGCTGTCAATCCAGAAAGCTGTGGGCAGGACTGGGTGTGGTCAGGTGTTGATTGACAGGCTACAGGCTTGTGAATGGGCAGTGACAATACTGAAAGACACCCCCCCCCCCCCCCCCCCACATGAGAGTGACAACTCTGCTCTGAATTAAGGAGCAGTGCAGTATTGTTGTCACCTCATCACAGGGAATGGTCCTGGGAACTCAGCACAGGGATGGTGGGAACCCCTCACAGTGAGCACAGTGGGTGTACACAGACCCAGGAACGCAGCACAGGGATGGTGGGAACCCTTCATAATGGGCACAGCAGGTGTACAGACCCAGGAACTCAGCACAGGGATGGTGGGAACTCCTCATAATGGGCACAGCAGGTGTACAGACCCGGGAACTCAGTACAGGGATGGTGGGAACCCCTCATAATGGGCACAGCAGGTGTACAGACCTGGGAACTCAGTACAGGGATGGTGGGAACCCCTCATAATGGGCACAGCAGGTGTACAGACCTGGGAACTCAGCACAGGGATGGTGGGAACCCCTCATAATGGGCACAGCAGGTGTACAGACCTGGGAACTCAGTACAGGGATGGTGGGAACCCCTCATAATGGGCACAGCAGGTGTACAGACCCGGGAACTCAGCACAGGGATGGTGGAAGCCTCTCATAATGGATGTAGTGGGTGTACAGACCCGGGAAAAGGTGTCAGAAGAGGATGTCATGTGGTCCGGGGTGGACTTGCCCTTTAACAATCATACTGATGGGTATGTAGAAAGTTGTGGATTTCTCTCCTGTGACACACACAGTCGGGGGAGAAGCGCTGCTGCGGGGAGGGACACAGTGGGGGGGGGGTGGGAGAAGCGCGGGGAGGGACGCAGTCTGGGGAGAAGTGCGGCGGGGAGGGACACAGTGGGGGGGGGGGGGGTGGGAGAAGCGCGGGGAGGGACACAGTCGGGGGAGAAGCGCGGCGGGGAGGGACACAGTGGGGGGGGGAGAAGTGCGGGGAGGGACGGTAACCTGAGTGTGACCCGCTGCTACAATCACAGCTTGTCTCTTTGTGTTCATTAGTGAGCTGCATCTGTTGGGAATCCTCTGTGGGAAGCTCAGATCACCGGGCCCCGCAGAACAAAGGGCCCATTCTGTGGCTGAATGGATGGGAACGTACCTCAGGAGGTTCTCAGCTCCGGCCCTCATCCTCATGGCTTTCAGGATCTGATTGTTCAGGCCGGCCCTTTGATTCTGCAGCTTGCTGCGGCCCGTCTGTGCCATGGATTTACCCTGCAGAGGAGAAGAGATGAGAGCACATTAGTGGGATTCCTGGGGGACAAATTCCTGCTTCGGCTCATACAGACGGCGGGGGCCACCATAACCCCCCATCAACAGGTGCCACCAGGGCCGTGGATAAGGGGGTACCACCAGTCCTCGTGTACGGGGCCCAGCCCAGCAGGGGGGCCCAGGCAACTGGGTGAATCAGATGTGGGCAGGGAGGGTGATCAGCACAGCGGGGGGCAATTACTGGAACCGATCCCCTGTATGGCTCTCTTCTGCAGGAGCTGAAAGCCGGCTTCTCCTCTCCCTCCTGCTGGATGTCAGCTGCTGCAGAGAGAGCCATACAGGGGATCAGTTCCAGTAACTGCCCCCTCCGCCACCGCACCCATCACCCTCCCTGTGCACCATACGTTCCCCCCTGCTGCCCAGGCCCCCCTGTGTGCCCCCCCAGTGCTGCCAAATTCCCTCCTCTCCTTCCCACTGGTAACTGGGTGAATCGGATGTGGGCCGAGAGGGTGATCGGCACAGTGGGGGGAAATTACTGGAGCCGATCCCCTATATGGCTCTCTCTGCAGCAGCTGAAAGCTGGCTTCTCTTCTCCCTCCTGCTGGATTTCAGCTGCTGCAGAGAGAGCCATATAGGGGATCCGTTCCAGTAATTGCCCCCCCCCCCCCCCCGCTGTGACGATCACCCTCCTGGCCCACATCCGATTCACCCAGCTGCCAGTGGGAAGGAGAGGAGGGAAGCTGGCAGCTCTGGCAGCTCTGTGGTGGAAACTTGGGCACTGCCCGAGGACCCGGGGTCAGTAGGGGGCCCCATGAGATGCCCCTGGTACCTTTTTCATAGGGTTTTTTGAATTTGGGCAAGGACACAGGGGCCCCATGATCCCCTATTGCCCAGGGGCCCCATGAGTTGCCAGTCCGCCCCTGGGGGGAACACGGGGGCCTTGGCAATAGAGGGGGAAATGTATGGTGCACAGGGAGGGTGATGGGTGCGGTGGCCCCTGCACCACCAAACCACCACTTTTCCCCCTGCAGCCCAGGCCCCCCTGTGTGCCCCCGCAGTGCTTCCGGCTTCCCTCCTCTCCTTCCCACCGGCAGCTGCCAGCACACAATAGGATCCCTCAGGATGGAGAGTGGGAGAAGGGTCCGGTGAATATGACACATTAACCAGCCCCTTCCTTTCCTGAATGAACACAATGAATGATCAGTACCGATCATCACTGTATTCATTCATACCTAAAGCATGGTAAAATGTAGCTATTTTTTTTCAAATGGGAGGGGGGCTGTCAGATTGGCTGTATGGGTGGTTTCTAACAGCAGCCATGAGTGCCACTGCCACTGCAGTCCCTGTACAAATCAGTGCTTCCACTACTGTGACTGCAGGGGCCACATAACAAATTCCAAAGGGGCGCAAGTGGCCCATGTGAGTTGGATGGTGCAAGTGGAAGTGGCCTTTGTCTGTGTAGCTCTGACAGGTACCCTTGGAACTGCGTGGCCTCCATGTACCGCACTCAAGATTTAATACAAGAAAACAAAGTAACGATCCGCCCCCCCCCCCCCCCATGAAATCTGCAATCGCTCCGTAATGCGCTTCCTGCGCCCACTGAAGTTAACAAGTCCCCGAATGTCTAAATATTCTCTTTCATGTGTCCTCGTTTAAACGGCTCATAACCTGAGTCACTCCCCGGTGAAAGGCGACCGCACTGCGTGGGATCTATTAAAAGCAGGAATGAAGTCATCCCATAATAAGGTGACAGCGTGAGGCCCGGCCCCGCCCTCCTGCGACACTCGCATCCCTCGGGAATGTCTGGCTTCCGCTGCCACATAAAAAACTACAATTGCGATAATCGCAGACATGGCGGAATCCGGAATCTATAAATATTTTAGCAGCTCAATAAAGGTGGTGATTGGTGGAAACGGCCCCCAGCTCTGCCATGGAAGGTAATGAGCCGAGGATCGCAGGTGACTTCCTGAGGACAGAACTTCGGAAAGTCTTTGTGACCTCCTGCGACCATGTGACGCACAAGGCGGCCATACGTGATGCATCTTCTGTCCTTCTACCAGCAGGTCGAACGAAAGAAAATGAATCGATTGCTCCATCCATACATTCGATGTGGATGGGGGAGTCCCTCTCGGAGGGCTATTGTATTCTGGCTGCATTTTCTCTGTCTCCCCCCCCCCCCAGAGATCAGTCTGCTGCAGGCAGGAGGAAGCATTTCCTCAGTCTCCACTCCCCCAGTGATCAGTCTGCTGCAGGCAGGAGGAAGCATTTCCTTAGTCTACCCACCCCCAGTAATCAGTCTGCTGCAGGCAGGGGGAAGCATTTCCTCAGTCTCCCCACCCCAATGATCAGTCTGCTGAAGACAGGAGGAAGCATTTCTTCAGTCTCCCCACCCCCAGTGATCACTCTGCTGCAGGCAGGAGGAAGCATTTCCTCAGTCTCCACTCCCCCAATGATCAGTCTGCTGCAGGCAGGATGAAGCATTTCTTCAGTCTCCCCACCCCCAGTGATCAGTCTGCTGCAGACAGGAGGAAGCATTTCCTCAGTCTCTCCACCCCCAGTAATCAGTCTGCTGCAGACAGGAGGAAACATTTCCTCAGTCTCCTCTCCCCCAGTAATCAGTCTGCTGCAGACAGGAGGAAGCATTTCCTCAGTCTCCCCTCACCCAGTGATCAGTCTGCTGCAGGCAGGAGGACGCATTTCCTCAGTCTCCCCACCCCCAATGATCAGTCTGCTGCAGACAGGAGGAAGCATTTCTTCAGTCTCCCCACCCCCAAATGATCAGTCTGCTGCAGACAGGAGGAATCATTTCTTTAATCTCCGCACCCCCAGTGATCACTCTGCTGCATACAGGAGGAAGCATTTCTTCAGTCTCCCCACCCCCAGTGATCAGTCTGCTGCAGCAGGAGGAAGCATTTCTTCAGTCTCCCCTTCCCCAGTGATCAGTCTGCTGCAGATAGGAGGAGGCATTTCCTCTCCCCCCCCCCCCCCCCCCAGTGATCAGTCTGCTGCAGCAGGAGGAAAACATTCTTCAGTCTCCCCTCCCCCAGTGATCAGTCAGCTGCAGACAGCAGGAAGCATTTCCTCAGTCTCCCCTCCACCAGTGATCAGTCTGCTGCAGACAGGAGGAAGCATTTCTTCAATCTTCCCACTCCCAGTGATCAGTCTGCTGCAGACAGGAGGAAGCATTTCCTCAGTCTCCCCTCCCCCAGTGATTAGTCTGTACATTGTATAGTAAGTTGTAAGTTGCAAAGTGAAAGCACTGGCTGATCTGTGTCAAACATTTGTGAACACAGACAAGAACAACACCAGGATTTACATGATTGTTTCATCTCTGAACCGACTTCTCAGCCTATATAGCAGATGGTGACCCTGGATGATGCCTGAACAAAGATGGCGCCGCAGAGAAAAGTAGATGAAGACATTGTCAGGGGGAGTAGTGTGATCTCTGTGGGAGGTAATAAATCCCTGGACTGGGTGCACCACCAAGAACCATGCCTGATGTGAGGTCCACTTCAGGTTTGGATCCACTCCCTGCGTCAGTGGAAGTATTTCCATGCAATGCGCAGTGCCCGCTGGAATGCTAATATTTAATATTTCTGTCGGTCAGGCTGGGTGTGGAGGTGCCAAACAAAGGACTGACAATCGCTCACACCCAGATAGCGATACGGCCATTACTCACAGGGAGGGCTCGTCCTGCGAAAAGCCTCTTGGAGCTGGCACACAGTCCCTGGCAGGACCCGCCGGTCCTGGAGACGTGCCTGGAATGCAGAGGCTGATGAGACGGACTGTCAGCCAGAGCACACCAGTCCTGCAGGCGGCACTAACAAGGATCCAGCTGGGGCACCTATGAGGCTCCGTTCACACTTGAACCACTTCTATGTTGTGTGACTTTGGAGTGCAACTTTCGTGCCATTTTGGATGGGTGGGACCAGGGGCGGACTGACCATTCGAGCACTCGAGAACTGCCCGAGGGCCCGGGGTCAGTAGGGGGCCCCATGAGATGCCCCTGGTACCTTTCATAGGCTTTTTTGGGTGTGGTGTGAGTGTGGACGAGGACACAGGGGCCCCATGATCCCCTATTGCCCGGGGGCCCCATGAGTTGTCAGTCCGCCCCTGAGTGGGACTTGGATGGGACTTGTCCCTCTGCAAGGTCGGACTCCCTGTTGCACCACCGTTCCATGTACGACTTTCATGCAACTTTTCAGGGTTGAGTCTGTGGCCCTCAAGTTGCATGAAAGTCGGACCCAAGTTCTGCCTGAACTAATCTGAAGTCGCTGCAGCTTTCAGTCCCACATATAGGAATGGTGATCATTGGAGAATATAGGGGAAGGCTTGTCATGCGAATTGCGGGCCGTACCCAGGGGCGAACTGACAACTCATGGGGACCCTGGGCAATAGGGGATCATGGGGCCCCTGTGTCCTCACCCAAACTCAAACCACACCCCAAAAAGCCTATGGAAGGTACCAGGGGCATCTCATGGGGCCCCCTACTGACCCCGGGCCCTCGGGCAGTGCTCGAGTGCTCGAATTGTCAGTCCGCCCCTGGTCGTATCAGCACTATGGTCGCCCTCAAAAGGCCGGTTGTATCTGTAGGACTGGATGTCCGGAGCACCCCACCCCTCCAATACATCAGATGTCCGGAGCACCCCACCCCCCCAATACATCAGATGTCAAGAATCCCCACCCTTCCTAACATCGCCGCACACCCCCTTTGGGGGGCAGAGCTGGAAAGCAGAAGGTGCAGGGTCTGGAGGAGGACCAGAGGAGGAGGAGAGTCGGTTAGAAGAATCTGCTGAATGCTGAGACCAGGGGAGGCAGAGATGAGGGGGGTGCTGAAGCTGCACTGAGCGGTGCAGGATTTGGCAGAGGAGTTCTATTCTCCTCTCTGCTGCTGAGACAAGGGGGTACTCGCAGGAGAGGTACAAGGGCCACGTGAAATAGCCTGGTGGGCCGGATTCAGCCCGCGGGCCTTGTGTTTGACACCTGTGTTCTAG